GAGAAAAACACACCGAGGAGCTGCTTGATGTGATAGCCAGGCAAACGAATATCTCAAAGAAATAAGCTGGCATTCGTTCACCGAAAACCTTTGGCTTTTTGGATCGTAAGCATCGTTGCGTGTTGCAAGTCATATGTGGAGCGCTTGTACGGTCCGACAATATCTTATGTTTATTCTCTGTTTGCCTCTATTTCATTCTCTCTTTCATCGCTCATTCCTCTGGTTGTCTTGCTTGCGCCCATTTTTGACAACGTTGTCGTAGATTTTTATGTTCGTTCACTCGCCGCGGACTCCTTGCGTGTGTGTGCTTCCTTTATCTCGTTGCTTTTATTTCTGTCCGTTTTCTTTTTTTCTTTTCTTTTCATATGTATTTTTTCTTGTGCTTCGCTGTTTTAATGCACTTTTCGTATTTTCTTTTTTGATTGCTTGTGCCTCAATATTTTTTTTTCTCCTCTCTTTTCGTTCGTATCTGACTCACAAATATTCTGTGTATCTTTTTGGGATTGTTTTGGAATCACAGCGTATATATAGCGTATATATACTACACATTAAAAAGAAACACTAATGTTTTAAACGCATGCGATATTCATCGACATCTCCAGCAGATTTTATTTATTACATGGGGAATCGTATTTCAAGATTGAATGCGATATTTTACTGGCCATCACAAATGAAACCAACGACAATAGTATAACGCAGAAGAAAAAAAGCACAAATTTTAAGCCTCACAATCAGCTGGGGTCATTTGATCCGTCTCTCATTGCACATTGGTTGACCATTTGGATTTTGTTGTCGGGAAAAGGTCGTGCTGAGAATGGAAACTTCTTCCTGGCCAACAGACTCAGTGATACTTCGAGAGGTGCGATGATCTGGGATGGGACAGAAAATGGTTTGCCTGCATTTTTCTGCGAGCCCTTGGCTATCCCAAAACACAGCCAGCGATGTCGTAATGATTTTATGGTATACGTGCATCAACGCAACCAAACACATTTACAGCGCGATTCCATTGATGGAGCGAGAGAGAGGCCAAATGTGTGTATATATAATAAGAGGCACACGATTTTCTCTCATTGGTTTCGCAGTGTCCGCGGTCTTCTTCCCTTCATTGCTGTGTGTTTTTTTCTTCTTCTTCTTCTTCTTCTTCTTCTTTTAAATCAGACCAATTTTATTGTCCATAATATTCGGATCGAATGAAAGGTTTTTGTTGTTGCTATTGATGTTCTTTAATTCCAACATTTCTCTCTCTCTCTATTTCTGTGTGTATCTTTTTTTTATTATTGTTACTGACGTTTGGTATTTTCTACGTTGTTTTCATCTTGCTCACTCTTTCGTTTCTTTTGAAATACATTTTAATGGCTTACATTAAATTTAGTTTCTTATATTGATTTTTTCCTTTTTCATCTCGCTCTCTCGCTCTCGATCGATATGTGTCTCTTTTCTTGGTCTTGCTTTTTGATATTGTGTACTGTTCACTGAATTCGTACGGTTCTTGTTGATTCGCAATGATTATGGGGTTTGAGCTCAAATATGAGCACGTCTTATTGCATTCAATCGTCGTAATTGTTTGATGAAAAATAAAAAGAGTTTCTCTCTTTTTATTGTGCGCTCAGCCCGCCAGGCCAACAACACTTTTTCCATTATTTTGAAAAGGATCGTGCACACGCACTGGATTCATCCGTACGTTTCTCTTGATCATTTTCATTAAATTACAATTACTAAACAGCCGGAGATTGTAATAAAGTGTTGAACGAGAACCTATTGTGTGAATGTGTAGTGCAGTCATGACGTCATCCATGACTCAACGCCATCAAATCCGGTTCATATCCAGATTGTTTGATACTCTCTATATGAGTCAAATTAAGATTCAACGACATTAGGTGACAATTGCCAAAACGCCGTTCATCGTTTACATGTAACAGCCAGTATTGTTCTTGAACCGTTTCACTTTTTTTTTCTGTGGTATTATCGACAAACAGAGTGCAGAAGAACAGGTAATGAAATGCGTTCCGCTTACAGTTGTTTATCACCATTATTATTTCAGTTCGATTGACACTATGAAAATGTCTGAAAAAGATTCGATGCAGTGAATCAGCGGCATAGGTAGAGAGAAGGGCAGAACGACGGCTTATATTTCGCATGCAATGTCTAATGAATGCTCGCGTCAACAGAAGAAATTAAATCAAAATTTTTGTTTTGCGCATTTTTCCTCGAGAAAAAAAAATGGCCAAAAGTCAATATAGTTTGATTAAAAAGATCCTAACTCATTTTATTCGCACAAAAAAGCGAGATCTATTGTGTTGGCATTATTATTAGAGAAGAAAGAGAGAGAGAGAGAGAGAAAAAAACACACACAGACGACGTTAATCGTATTTTACGCGGCAAAGCAGTCACTAAAAGTTGTGTTGCATGCTGGTATGAATGGATGTCGAATGGTGGTGTCTAAAATGTAGCTCTTTTCGTTGTCTTGTTTTGAATCCAGCAGAAATGATACGAAAAAAAACCCTAACGGAATGGAGTAGACATGAATGCTGCAGATATAGTTTACGTGTACACCGATTCTTCGACGGTTATTCTTTCTTCTTCTCGCCCATTCGTTGGTTGTTGTCGTTTGTCGACTCTGTCTATGCACTAGGTTTCTCTCGTGCTGAATAGGCGACTTTCGGTGCAATCGTACAATCGGTTTGTATGTGTGTGTGTGTCTTTTTTTATGTGCGCTGCAGCGGTTTTGGTGTTTTAGATATACACCGAATCATGGCAGAACGACACATACACAACCGTGTGTCTGTATCAAGAATTAATTAAATATACGTACATATGCGAACGATGATATGATTCGCACATTATTGCCATCGATTCCACACCAAAGAGGATAGCACAATGAGAATTGTTTATATGTAATTCAGGAAGATTCAATCTCATGTCAGTGTCTGTTGATCTCCCTCGGTATGTTTTGATATAAGAATTTTTCGGTTATTTCATTGCAATTATCGGATTGGAGCAAAAGAAATGATCTTCAATGCTTAAAATCTTCTGCTTGGGTTTTTTCCTCTCTTAAATTTTCCGTTTCTGTATTCCCCGGCGATTACATACAAATGCAATATATCTTTGTCTTGCACCCAGTGTGTATCTACTTGACTTCTATTCTGCCGTTGCCGTTGCCATTGACGTTGGATTTTCGTTGAGTCGCTTATTCATTGTTGTTCTTATTGGGATTTTTTTTCCTTCTCATTCGTTTGTTCGTCTCTCTCGTACTTCGTTTTGTTGCATATGTTTTATTCCTTTTTTTTCTCATTTTCTTCTCGGTTTCTTGGCGCTGCACACCGAAAAAATTTCAACCAGTGGTAGCACAAATGATCGTGTGTGCGCCTGTGTGTGTGTGTAGTTTATGTAAAATGTTGAACGATAAAAAGTAAATTTACGTATGCATACGATTTTCGTTCAATAATTCTATATGATATTTTCGAGGATTACTTTTTACGATGTTATTGCTTATTTCGTTTGTGCATCTTCTTTTGGCTCACGCTTTGCTGGGCCCAAATGATTTTGCTCACTTTTTCCACTCGTTATGTCTGTATGTGTATGATTCATGGCTATTGATTAGTGTGGCTTTTCTCGATGCCAAGCATTTCATTTCAATTTGGACATTTTACCAATGGATTTGAATGTATTGCATTTAACTAGGTACTGAAAATGGCAGTGAAACTCATTGATTCCTAATGCGAGACTATTTTTCACTTGGTTGATTCTGTTTGTGTGTGTGTGTGTGTGTGTGTGTGTGTGTGTGCAAATGTCATTTCATTTCAATTGATAATTGATTTACCGTTGTGCCCGATCAATATCGCAAACAAGATAACCTTCGCACGCACGCACCGAAACAAAAAGACTTCAGCAGACAGCGACGAACCTTAAATGCGGTCATTTTAAATTTCGACAACGATATTAATCACTTTGACTTTGCTTAATGGAACACACACATCGTCACATCGAAGGTAATTTGGCAACTGTACCAATGACCATTTTGCCATTTTGTTGTTCGGGCGTTGAAACGGATTGTGTTGTGTAAACAAACGAGAGAGCAAAAATAAAAACACATTGAATTGAAAGGCAATTGCCATTGAACACACTTCCTAGTACACAACAAAGTGCTGTGCCGTCTCGTACTGTGTTACAATATATTGCTATAGCCAATTGAGTTTTTAATTGGATATATGAATTGTCATTTAAATTGTAGAATCGATGAGCGCGCGGGAGCGTTTGGCTTCAAAACAAAACCCTAAATAATTGCAATTCCAAAACTCCCATGGCAATTCCACGGAGAGAGCAGGCCAGAATGCTTTGTTTACAAACAATCTCGTTGGTTTGCTTCGAAACAAGTATAACAACAAACCACCGAATCGCAAAATTGTATGGATTTGCCGGTTACCTGTTGCTATAAATGTTGATTACAACGCGCGATGGACATAGACATATATGCATGTATATATGTTCCGTATTCATCGCACACAAAGAAGCGAACGAAATGAAAAAAAAAACCGCTCCATAACTTAATGCCTATATATGACATTTTAGAATCAAAAGCAAACGCACTCCAACCGAGAAATAATAAAGGAAATGAATCTGGCAAGAGAGCAAAAAAAAACCAGTCGAACGAGTAGATGAAAAACTACAACAAAAGTGGACAAGTTTTGTGCGCAGACACACATATGTGCATAAATGACGTTAAGAGCGCGCATTTCGTTTCGCATCGTAAATGCAATCAATAAACAAGAGATTTTTCTGTTGATAGAAAATCAATAAAACTTGCACAATTCGGTATCTTTTTTTCGTCAGAGATTTCGTCGATGTCGGTGTCAGACGGATTTTATTTTTATGTCGGGCCATCACGGTGTCGAAAATATCAACGCATTTCATAGATCATTGACGGATGGCGATATCGAACGATACACACACACATATATATACTACACAAAATAAAAAAAATTTGAAGTCTCGCAACTCACCTTATGTAAATAGAAATAAAATAAAAAAAATCATTCGTGATTTTATTTGATAAATTATTGTGGACGAATTCGTTGATTTCTGAATCAATTTCAGATGACTAACTTTAACGTTGTTGGTTTTTCTTCTCTTCTCTTCTCTTCGTTTGTTGAATTCTTTGAGTTTGTTTTTAATGAAAAATCACACTTAAATCACATGAAACAGCAAAAAGCACATAAGCCCGTGGTTAAAACTATAAAAAATTTATACTTTTTTCTTCGTTGTCGTCGTCGTTTTAATTTTTCCAATGAGTCAACGTCTGAAATCAATGTACGTGTATACAAAAAAAAGTGTAGTTGAGGCGACACTGTTTGATTCTCAATTGCAACTAAATGGATGTTTTCAACATTGGTCGGTGTTTTTTTCTTCTATTTTTTCTTTTGGAAATGAACAACAACTTATTCCGGCATTAATCTAATTATTCCGTTTCAAAATATTATCACATTATCACCATTAAATATTCGATATATTCACTAACTAACTTCGTTCAAATGTACGAGGTGTTTGTCATTCACACTGTTAATCGTTGTTTGATTTTGAATAAACGAAAATGTAAATAGTCCGTGCCGAACTACAACAAAAACGGATGAGATTTTAAAAACAAAAACCAACAAAAATCGAACCGAAACGAGAAGAAAAAAACACACACAGAGATTGTTCGGTGTTCCTCTCACAATGCGCGAATCGAGTGCGAGCTTTGCATTGTCTCAATTGTTAATTCAATTGCTTCTCTCTCGCGCTTGATGTTGTGTATTGATTAGAGCTGATTAGAGTTGTTTTGGTTAAGTGACGATCACATTTCCACCCGTTTTGGATTCGTCGTATCGGTATGTGTTGAAATTTTTTTCACAAAATGTTTTTAAAATGTGCGGATTTAATAAAAAAAAACTGATTTGAAATGGAGACAATTCCCATAGATTTTTAGCAGGTGTCCGTGTTTGAACTGAAACTACTTCTGTACGAAAAATGTTTCTCGCAGCAACTGCGCAGATTATGGGGCGCACCAATCAACGACATCAGTTGCCACGGCGATGGTCGTATATTCAACGCTTGGTCGGTCGAATGATCGGTGTAGCGCAAGCGTTCGATTGATTCGTTCAGGTGATTCGATGAACAAAGAATTGAACATACGTGCGCTGGAATTGTAGGTGCTGTTGAGCCAAGCGATGTGTGCACTCCATGCGAGCAACGTACGTGCACGGCTTGATTCGATCATTCATATAAGATGGCGATCTGTGATCACATCGTGCATCTCCTTCGGTCGTGCATCGCTAGCACGGCGAACGTTCGAGGTGCCGTCTCACCCGCCGTCGTCGACAACGTTTATTTTTTCTCTCGTTGTTTTTGTTATTGCCATTGAGTTCGAAAAGAGTTGAACTATTGTCCATTACATATGCATACACAGAGCGGGTCGATCGTGCTGTAGCATACAGCATTCGAGCCGACAACATTGCAACACACATGCCTGTTACTCTGCGCATATCTGCGATCGAGAAAGAGAGAAAGAGAGCGAGACCGCGTACACACACACACACATACACGCAAGCGGTCGTTCGCTCGCTCTCGCACCCGCCCGCTCATACACAATCAGAGAGAGGCCAACATCAAGAGCTCATGGGTCTCGGTGACGAAGCAAGAGAACGGAGCACCACGTTCAGTGACTACACTAATCACGCTGTCTTATTGGCATTTCGAATTCTCTCTTTCCTCTTCCATCTTTGGCGAACACTGCACTGTCACCTATTCACCAGTCTCCCTCACAATACCGTGTGCACAGTCTTATACGCCGCCAAGACGTTTCCTATAAGAGTTTTCAAAATATTGTTGTGTGTGCTGCTGCTGTTGTTGTTGTTGTTGTTTATTCTCTCCTTTTTTTCTCTCATTCGTTCGCTTTTGTGATTACTTCTTGTTTTCTTCTTGGCTTTTTGGATGCTGATGCTGCCGCTGCTTCATGCTCGTTTTTTTCGACTCATTGGCTTCTTCTTTATATTTTTGTTGTTTTTTCTTTCTTTCATCTCTGCTTGTGTATGCTTTTCTGTTTGTTTCTCTTCACTCGACTCGGCAGTGATTTGGGTTTTTCTTATTCGCGTCGTGAAGAGGTGTAAAGATTGTGAGCGAACACACTAAACGACCGAACGAAGCAAATAAAGATGAGAAATAAATATAAATAAGAGAAGAACGAGAAGAGATAAAAATTACAACAACAAAAACAGCAGCAGCAACAGCAGCATCATCATCAACGGCAACAACAACGACACAACACAGCGGACGAACGACAATTCATGCCCAAGCCAAAACACAAAGAGCACTCAGTAAAGACGACAGCATCGGAAAAGAGCTCCAGCACTCATCAAATAGATTTGTATTTGTATAAAAAAAAAATAAAAATAAACATATATACACATATCTATATGTGCTAAAAAAAACACACAACAAAACGAAGGGAAATGGTACACACAATCTCCACTTGAAACCTACATACAAACGTAGTCTCTGGCTCACGGCAATGTGTTAATAAATGCATCTCTCTCTCCAGAGATTCAGTGGACCTGATTATGCAAGTCGTGTAGATTTCAATATGTGGTTATTGCATGTCGAATAGACGCTCAGTTTTAATGAATATTAAATTTCAGTTATTTATTTCTGATCGGCTTGCTCTTCGGTGCGCTTCACCAAAATGAAAGAAGCAAAAGAGAAGAAAAAAAATATCGAAATTAAAATGGAAATGAAGAGAAAAAAAAGCATACACACACACACACACAAACGCACATAAAACCGAGTCTCAAATGATTTTCGCCTTTTAAATTCATTGCGTAAATGGCATTGGACACTGGCCGCTCATCATCGTGCTGATGATACACCAAATTTTTTCCACATTTCATGTGGAATTTAAACCGTCGAAAAAAAAGAGTCGAAAAATCAAATACCAATATATCGGCTGATAGAGAGAAACATCGACGAAAACGATGATGAAAGACGAGCATAACATATATAACTCACAAATTTTTAATGAATTTAAATAAAAAAAAGCGTTTTTTTTCTTCTTCACTCATTCGTCTACTCATTTGAGAAAGGGGCATTTAGTAATCTCGTGTGTCATTCGAATCAACAACATGTAGCAAATGAACGTCATCCAACAACAACAACAACAAAGAAAACGCACCGAACTATAAGTGCACAAACAAATATCAGATATACACATTTATATGAATATAAATGTGGCGATGATTGCCGGGGATTTTCTATCCGCGTTTTATTTTTTGTGTGTGTGTGTGTATTGCTTCTCCTGTATTTATTGGAATTTTATTTGGTTTTGTTGTGTGTATTAATCGTGTATGAGATGAGCCAAGCACACTTAATACTGTTGCCGGTTGATCTGCGCTCGCGTTCACTCTCTCTCTCTCACTCGATCTATCTCTCCGCGGCTGTGTGAATGCAAAATATTCTTCAGCGAAAGAGCAAGAATAATATGAAATGGAATCATTTCCAAAGGCAGCAAAGTCCAGATCAGCACGCAACGGCACAAATCACAGCCACAACTTACACGCGTAGTGGCTGAAATCCTTTTTGCTTTCCTTTATATTTCAATTGTGGATCGGATACATACACCGAAGTAGTTGAACATTCAGCGAATTTTTACGCGATCACAAGCGATCAGCGGCACACCCAATGCGTGCACATCAATAAAATGTGCAACGAAAATCAGGAGAGCGATGTAAACGACGATGACGACGACGACGACAACAACAACAGCAAATGGATAAGAAGGAAAATTTCTGCGGCAAAATTCCCGAGCACAAAGCAATGATCTTACGAATGAAATAAAATATCATCGACGAACGAAATTATCTGGCTTCAATGTAAAAATTCAGTTAAGAACACTTGCGCCGCAATAGAGACCAGGTCAAGAAACAAATACACAGCGCATGAGTAGCAGCACAAGCTGTAAATTGCACCAGGGATTAAAATGAAGAAAGCAGAAAAAAAGTGAACCGTACAAATCAAGCAATATTCCGCCACAAATCGCATTCACACAGCAAAATAGAAATTTGTATTATCATTTTACAGTTCATTGGGGCGATAATTCTGCAAGCATTCTCGCATTACAATCAACCATGTTCGAATCGCATTTCCCTACACTCGACTTCCAATTGGTATTGAAAACCCCTTCGGGCCACAACCAATTCATTTCATCGTTTGGGAATTGGGTTTATATCGATTCTGCTTCTCTGTTGCCTGCCTTTTTTTCTCTCTCTCTCTCTCTCTCTCTCTCTTTCTCTCTCTCTCCTCTATCTTTCTCTCATTTTCAATGGGATCTCATCTGTTGAATGGAATTGTTCATTTTGCATGCTTCTCGACATCGAAATTCATTGAGTTAGAATTTACGGCACAAACCAACCGTGCCCGGCTCCACGTTCGAAATGGTTTTCTGTGCTAAATACAGCCCAACTAGGTGTATTGCTTCAGATACCACTTTTGAATCATTAATGAAACTAAATCATAATCATAAATACGGAATAGGTGTTTCCTTCCAGTCGGACGATAATTCAAATTCTATTTTAAATAAAAGACTCATTTAAGCTGAATAAATTCAGATCTGGCAGCACAGATATTTTAGAATTAGAGATGAAAATGAAATTGAAAGAATATGATATTTAAACCCGAAGAGAAGACAGAATAACAGAAAAAAGCATAACACCACAACAACAGCTCTCGAACAGGATTGAAATTTGAAACAGAAAAGAAAATAGTCAATAAATATCACTCAAATTCACGTTTGCATTTTAGATTTTTATTAAATTTTGTGGTTTATTTTTTCGTCTCTTCTCGGTAGTTATTTGTGTATCGCCATTCGAATGTTAACACTAACACACGTACGTATATATGAGAAAAATGTCGCCGGCCACAAGAAAACATCGATGACAATCGAATCTGGCTGCTTTGACAATTTACGATGTCGGACGACATAACAAAATAAGAAAAAGAAAAGAAAAAAAAAACAAATTCTTTACTGGAACATTCGACGAGCTGATTGAATCGAAATGTCGAAGTTGATTATTTTCAAGAGACGGAAAAAAATTCGAACGCAATGGCAAACAGCGCTCTATCCACGCAGTACACGCGCAAAATGCCGTGTTTGTGTGTCTGTCAGCAGTGAAAATGCATTTTTAATGTAACTTTTCTGCTTCTTGAGTGTGTCTTACTTTGGGCAAAATCCCTGTATAATCTACTTTAATTTCTGGCCATGCAATGTCGTGCATGGCGAATGCAATACACGACCTTCGTGTGTGTTTCAATAGATATTTGATTTTCTGTGTTGCCATTTTCTTATTTCATTTAACATATATGCGCTTGGTAAAGCGGGGCATCGACGACGCTTGGTACACGACAACCATACACCATTGGTTCACAGTTATTTTTACCGAAATGAAAACAAAAATAACAAAAACTACAAAAAATGCTTTTGATACACAATACAAACATTTGCCTACACATTTCATTCCACAACGTACACGACTTGTAACCAATGTACACGCCGTCGAATGTACGCTGCTGAAATAAATGAAGAAAGATAGAGAGGGAGAGAGAGAGAGAGAGAGAGAGAGAGAGCGAAAAAAAAGAATCGACAACACGAAAGACGCGAAATGCAACTGTACCTATAGCCTCAGCGAACGGATAAAAGCACCTGAATTCTATATATATGTATATATGCATGTACTATTGGCCGATGAATGGTGAAATATACGATCTTTATAGCCACATATATAAGTCATAAGCTGTACCAAACGGATTAATTCGAGCGCTGCAAAAAGGCACACTTCATCAAATTACGACCGATAAAAAGAAACGAAATAAAAAAGCAACAACAATAACAACAACAACGGCAACCAACAGCCAAATCGAACACGAAGTGTGATCACTGTTTTCGTCGCACCGTTTCAATGTTCCAATACCTTTGGCGTTCGCAATTCAAAATGCAAATACACATGGGAAACGAAATG